TATGTTTAAACCCTGTGATACATGCTTATTTTAGTTTTAAGCAGTCAATTACCTTTTTAAGACAGATAATTTTTAAAAATTCTTTTATGTGCTCACAACGTTCCCCTTACACTCTTCGTTACATTCTATAGACCCAGGTTTCCATGTGGTATTTTCCTCTCTTCCTCTTACAGTGTGGTTCTGCTCCTGATGAACTTTTTAGCCTTTTGTCTGGAAAAAAAATCTTTATTTTAGCTTCAACTTTGAAAGATTTGCTTTTTCCACACGGTCAGTAATTCTAGATATAAAGTTCTTTCTTTCCATTGTTCAAAGACCTTTCTTCTGTGTGTCCTAGCTTGCATTATTTTCATTTTTTTCTTTTGTGAATAATGCCCCTCCCCTTTTGTCTTCCCCAGGTGCTTTTCAGATTTTCTTTTTATTATTGCTTTTGAACAACTCGATTAGTATGTTTCTTGGTTTAGCTTAGTTTTCTGTATATTCCTAGATACTCTTGAATCTGTGGATTTATAGTTTCACCATCTGGGAAGTTTGCGCCCATTATGTCTTCAAATATTTCTCCTGACACCTTCTTTCTCTTCTTTAGAGATTCCCATTTCATATATATTAGGCCACTTGAAGTTTTTCCATAGCTCACCGATGCTCTGTTTGTTTTTTTAATCTATTTTTCTCTCACTTATATTTTGGATAGTTTCTATTACTGTGTCTTGAATGCCACTTGTCTTTTCTTCTCTGTTGTCTAATCCCATAGTCAGTTTCTCATGTCAGATATTCTGGGTTTCATTTCTAGAATTTTGACTTGAGTCTTTTTAAATATTTTCTGCCGGAACTTAGTTCAGTCTTTTCTCTAGCTTTCTGACCATTTGAAATCCAGTTGTGATAGCTGTTTTTAATAGCAGTGTCTACTACTTCTAACACATGTGTCAATTCTAGGCCAGTGTCCATTGATTTTTCTTGTTTCGGGTAGTCTTTTCTTGCTTTGCACGCCTGGTGATTTTTGATTGAAGACCAGACATTGTGTATTTTACCTTGTTTGGTGCTAGATATTTTGTATTTCTGTAAGTATACTTGAGCATAAGTTATTTGGAAACAATATGATCCTTTTGATTCTTGTCTTAAGGTTTGTTAGGTGGGACCGGAGTTAATTGTTCTTCACTACCGAGGTAAAAAAAAAAACAACACAAAAACCTTTGCATACTTTACCCAGTGCCCTGGGAATTACGAGGTTTTCAGTCTGGTTCTTGTAAATACGCAGTATTCGTGGTCCCTTGTGACGTTCACTGATTGTTCGAATACACTTTGGGGTATTTCTGGCTCAGAGAGTTTCCTCACATGCATACAGTGATTGGCACTCTTTGTAATACCTGAGGAGTACCCTTCGCAGATCTTGGATATTCTCCTGTTGTACACCCTGCTCCTCTGTTGTGCTCTGCCTTAGGTAATGTAGCCTCCCTGTTCTCCACAGATTGCTAACTCTGTCTCCTCCACCCAGGGATACTGCGGGACTTGGCTTGGGTCCCAGCATTAATAGCTTGAACAGCAGTTTCAGAATACCTCTCTACCCTGCCCCCAATCTCTCTGGGATCACTGTGCTTTGTTGCCTGATTTCCAATGTCCTAAGAACCTTTGTTTGCTATTTTGGGTTTGTTTTTAAAGTTGTTTTAGGTGGTGGTGGTGGGAGGAGGGGTTGAGAGTAAATATGGTTCCTGTTACTACATCTCGGCTTAAGGTGGAAGTCTTCAACTGGAGTTTTTAAAGACAATGTAAAGAAAGGACCACTTGAGGATGTGAGGAAGGGATTTTGAGGTGACGGGGCACCAGTCATAAGGGGACCTTTTCGCCCCTTAAGGCCTGGAAAAGACACAGTGAAGGAAGTTTATCAGAAGCAAACATAAGACGCCCTCATATTAGGATAATTTTCAATAAAGAAACAATTTAGAAAGATAGGGACAGCCTGAATCACTGTGGCTAGTAACAGCAGGTTTGTTATATTCCTAAACTTAACAGGGCAAGGCGAAGGATGGTTACTGACCAAAAAGGAGAAATCATGTGAAGAAGGCCACCTTGAGAGGATCTGTTAACCTTAGTTTAAGAGGTGCAACAAATTCAAGGCCACTCCACAGGAAGCAAGTCCCAACCTTACTCTCTTTCTCCTTTGAGGCTTCTGCTAATGCTTGCCATTGGCCAAAGTCAATTAGAAGACAGGATTAGAGAGCCTTGGAGATCTAGACTATTGTCCACAGGACCAGAACATCAAAGAAGGATTGAGAATGGATATGTGGTAGAGGAGGGGGGCAAATGGAGATAACCTGCTCAAGGAGTCACTGGTAACCTCTGATTTTCTGGCTATCGTATCAGTGTGGCTGGGGGTGCCAAGCACTGAGCTAGAAGAGAAGGAATAATAATACGTTTCGGGAAAAGAAGATTTGACATGCAAGAGAGACATGATGAGATTTCCTTCTCAGACCAGGCCTGTTTCCCCCTGGAGGCTCCCGTAACCCCCTCTTTATCATCTTAAATTGTTTAGAACATCTTTATCATCCGGGATGACAAATGAAGCAGAGTTCATGTGGGAGGTACATATACGATGATTTATGTGTGGGGTGCATTTAGGGAGAGTGGGGAAATCAGGTAGAAGTCATTCAGCCTGAATGTATTACCAGTCCCTTGGCCATCTGGATTTGGGGCTGAGCAACAATGAAATCTGTTGCAGACAGGGCTGAGAGCAGAGTAGCTGGAATTCTGCTCAACTGGCCATGGGGTGGAGAGGTTATGAAAGGACTCAGTAACTGATTGGATATGGGGAATGAAAGTTGAGAAGAAGACAAAGTCTGTAAAGTCAAGAATGATTCAGGCAGAGTAAGTCCAGTGTAATTTACCAGATTTTTTGATTGTAGAATTATGTGGCTAAATGAGGCCATTGTTAAGACGTTTAATGGTCATCATGTGATGTAGAGGAAGGAGCAGAGGACTGCAGTCCCATTCTGCTTTTCACTGGCTCTGGGAGGTTGGGCAGGTGACCTGCTTGCACAGACCTCAGTTACCACAGCTGTAAGTGGCGAACCCCTCCATGGTCGTTGGGGGGATTAGCGAGGCCATCTACCAGGTCACTAGTGCCATGCCTCCTGGCACAGAGTAAATGCTCATGAGAAATTTATTGATCCAAGATGAGGAGTTGCCCAAAATAGAAGTACATTTAGGAAACATTTGGATTCATGTGAAAATACATATTGAGGAAATACAGGTAATAATAAATTTCTAATGATCTATTAAGGGAAGAGTGGGGTTTGGAGGGGGCCTATCACAAAGTCCCCCACCAAAGACAGTTTGTGAAGACCCCGTTGCTCCTTTGGCCTTTTTTTCTGAACAGATTATTCTGATGTTAGTGTGTAGGTTAGATCCTGGGCTTGGTGGGCCACTGGTTTGCCCCACCACCTGTTGTCTCTGGAGGGCCTTCAGGAAGGTAGGGAAGGCCTTCTGTGTGTTTACCTGTGCTGTTAGCCCAAGCTTGCTGTCCCTCCACACAGTATCACGTGAAAATATGGGTGTCTCAAGACCCTGTTTGTTAAATATGTCAAATGCCCCTTCCTCCCCTTCCTATCTTGTTATTTTTTAAAAAGCAATGGCATGGAGGAACAACAGTTTTGGGAACTGGAAATATGCAGCATAGAGGAGAGAAGACTCAGTAGGAAGTTGTGAGAGTCTTCAAACATTTAAAGGGGCAGCTCACCTAAAAGGGATTAGATGGTTAGGATGATCCCATGGTACAAAAAGGCGGCCTAGAGGGTGAGAGCCGTACAAAGCAGAGTCTGACTCATTACAAGGAAGAGCTCTGTGATTACAGTAATAGCTGTACATTGTGAACATTCAAACAACATGTGAAAGTTAAACATCGCCCTCTCCGCTCCCACTGCATTACTTTTCTGGGCAGGTATTTGCGTATTCTTCCTGATGTTGGGTCTTTATACCGCACAGCGGTTCTCAGACTTTCACATTTTCAGGACCAGCTGGAGGGCTTCTTACACCTCCCAGAATTTCTGAATCAACACATCTGAGCAGGATCCTGCTAGTTTGCATTTCTGACAGTTCTTTTGTGGTCCTGATGCTGTTCTTCCTGAGACCACACTTTGAGAACTGCTGATACTCTGTCCTCTTTTAAGAAATAATATGTATGGGGTCTAAGAACTTGCTTTTACCTAGCATAATTAGCATTTTTCTTTAGCTCCTTCACATTGTTTGTAACAGCTGCTTATGTCCCCTATAAATAATCATTTAAATTATTTCCAGGATTTTATGAATGTGCTCTTGTCTTTACAAAAAATGTCGTAATGGAATTTCTTTGTATATATTTCTTAGGTGAGACAGTCTATACATTCTTAGAAGTTAAGCTGTTAAGTAAAAATGTAGACTTCAAAAGTGGATAAATACTGATAAATTTTTTCTAAAGAAGATTCAGCCAATTATTGTCCACCGAAAGTGTATGAAACTGTCTATTTCCCCACACTCTTGCTAGAAGTACTACCAACAATCTTCATTTTTGCCAGTTTCTTGTAAAACTGTCTCAGCATGGTTTTGATTTGTATTTCCTACATTGTTTGTGAGGGGAAAGGTTCATTTGTATTTATCACATTTCTTTTTCTGTGAACAGCAGGTTTTTTATTCTTTGCATCACAAGGAGCAGTATGAATAAAGGTGCCAAACCTTTATTCGAGGGGTTCCTGGTAGTTTTATAGAGTTGAAGTATCAGGGGGGTTTGATCAGGGAGAGAGGGTTCGAGGTACAGGCAGGGCCAGAGCTTTGAGGTCCTTATGGGCCAGATGAAAAGTTTGGGCTTCATTTGGGCAGACACAGCACTGGTGGTGGTTAAACTTGAACTGTAGCACTTGGTAATTTTGACAGAGAATGTTTGTGGTGTGGTGCACTGTCCAGTTCTCCAAGTCTAATGTTTAACCTTCAAATAACTCATTCTTTAGGCCTTTCACCTTGGGCCTTACCGGCCTTTGGCCATGCTTCATAAACAGGTAAACACAAGATAGGCCCAAACTGCAGCCAGCCTCTGGCGGGCCTTGCCTTTGAGGACGGAGTTTCACAGGACTCCATGGGGAGTGGATTTTGTTGTTCTTCCTAATACTGCTCTGAGCCCTTCCTGACAGCAGTCATTAAGGTCGGTGGCTTTTTCTGTTCTCCTAATTTGAGTGGCTTTCTGGGAAAAGCCGTGGATTTCAGCCAGTGTGCTAATGTTAACAGCACTGCTTTGAAGGTCTGGTTAGTTCTGTAGAAAAACATTTTATAGTTAACTCTATCAGCCAATCAGCAGTAGCCCCTTGGAGAAGAAAATGACAAGAGGCAAAGAAAAGACATATACAGGGTGGGGCAAAAGTAGGTTTACAGTTGTTCATATGGAAAATAATACAATAATTAATAAATAATAAAACGGGAATAAACTTTCATGTACTCACGCTATTTGCATTATTCAGAATTCAAAGACAGGTCAGCAACTCATGTTTCTAAAAGAAGAGTCTGTGTAATACTAAACCACTTTGCTTGTAATTTTCCCTGTTATGGGCTTAGCTTTGTAATCAGCATATTGGGGTTGAATTGTAATAACTGGGCGTTTGGAATCAGGCCAGCAGCCCTCGCTCTCTGTGTGCCTGTTTGGCCATTTTTCTGCTTCCAGGGTCCTGGCATCAAGTGCAACCATCACGTTCCAACTTTGGCTTTTAGTGGACTCAGGGTTCGTAACAGGTAGACCGACTTGGACAAGGGGCTCGCTCTCCAGCTTCCCTCTGGCCTCCACACCTGTGCCCACGGGAGGGGAAGCGCGCAGTCTAGGAGGGAGGTTGTCTTAGGGGAGGAAGGACCGTGGTGCTTTACAGAGAAGAGAGGTTCGCTGATCCTGCTTCTCAAACCCTCCACGGACAGAGGGTCCTTAGAGGCCTTTTATTTTTAGAGGTATTTGACTATTTTATACATTAAACAATCTTCCCCTCCCTCACAACCCCGAAATTCCTCTGTTGTACATTACAGTACACTGTGCTTCTCTGTGGGGACAGTGAAGCAGGGGGCAGAGTATTCTCAGTTAATGCCAGTGTTTCTCTCGGCAGCATTCATAGTGATAGAAGGTAGTCTTTATTAATCAGAGCACAGAGAGGGCGTTCGCAGTGATCGAGTGACTGGGAAGGTTTCACAGGATAAACACACTGGGAAGGGTATTCTGAGTGTGTCCAGGAGGAAGGCAGCTCAGTCGGTGTGAGAATCCAGGTCATTTGAAGGTTAGTAGCAAGAGTCCTGCTCTGACTCGGACGGACCTGAATTTGAATATGGCCTCCTTCCTCTTCGGACTTTTTGACCGTCAGTTGGGTATCAATCCTCTTGGAATTTCAGTGTCCTCACCCGTCCATGGGAGAAACAGCACATACTTTGTAAATGTGGCTTCCTTTCTCCCTTTCTCTTCAAGGAGGATACCTAGGTATGGCATAAAGGGCTTGGAACGCAGTGTAACGAGTAAGCAGGGTTTTCTAGAAGAGGACGGGAGATTCAGAGTTTACTTTGCTTCCAGGTGGTGTTTGCTGTTGGACTTTGGGGTTGTTACTTGAGAAGTCAGATTTTCCGCCCATGATTTCTTTAGGACCTGTACTGTGCATTTGGCCTTAGCATGGTGGGATTTTGTATTTCCTTGGTGTTGGCTGCTGTGGTGTTGCCTTGTTGCTCTTGGAGGGTGATGGTGTTGGCCACCATCCAGGACTGGCTTTGTTTTGACCCTCGTGGCTGTCACATCGTGAGACAGCTGTGGGGATTTGGTGAGTGCTGACTTTTTTGCCTTTTGGAATCCAACTTTGAATTCAAAAGGAGAGCCCACCTTTCTATTGTCTGATTTCACACCATATGCCTCCTTCAATTGTCTTGTGTTTATCTTTAAATATGGGCTCAGTGAAAGCATGAAGGAAGGTTTTAACATCCTGAAAAATACTGAGTTTCTGATTGCGTGGTTGGGAAGGTGATGGAAACAGTACATCGACACATCCTTTACCAATGATCAAGTCTGCATCTGTTGGAGAAAGGTAGACTTGGAAAAGGGTGCTTGGCCCCAAGAGTATGGCTGGGGTCCTGCTGGTAACCTGAAGCCACCACTGCAGTTTTACCAGGTGCACTAGGTTTTGCTTGTAACACATAAACTAAGAAACATCTCACCTCATCACCATTTGATTTTCAAAAATCAAATTCTTACACTAAATGATGATCAATTCTTTAAAACCAGAGAGTATATATATTTTAACTTCCTCTTCATAGTGTCCTGGCACAGAGAAAGCACTTAATATTTGTTTCATTTGCTGGAATTTGAGCTCTTAGATACGGTGAGAACACTTATGTATGGAGAACTCATGTTAAGAGATTCCAGGTGTCTGGAAGTGATTTGGTGTTGGGAGGGAAGGTTGGCACACAATTCCAGTCTTAATAATTGCTACCGTTTCCCAAGCATGCACCATACATCAGGCACTGGACTAGGAATTTCAGTTGTATAATCTCAGTTAACCTTTTAGGTAATGCAATGACAAGATAGCCTTTCACTTTAAAAGGAAAAGCCTGTCAGCAAGCTGTACCTTTTCTCCCATGTGTATTGTTGATAAAGCCAATAAGAGAGCCAAATGACCCCTTTCTTTCCATCGTAAGCTTTCTCACCATCTCAGAGCATGAGAGATTTGTTTAAAGTGGTATTTAGTTTCTTGTGTTTAAGAAGACTGAAATGGACAAGCGTACATATTGCTTATCTTTTTCTTCCCAAACTTAACAGCCCTAATTTTAATATAACTAAATTAAGTTGTGAAGGACTCATGTACGTGAGCTCCCACAAAAGTCCGAAGATCAAAATTGAAAGAGGATATTGAGCTCCCTCCCAGATCCCTGGGACACTGTGTCTGTGGACACAGCCACCAGATTTATCCTGGAGGAGTGGCTCTTTAGGAACAGGACCAAAGGTAAGCTCATCTCTGGAGGTTTGTAGTCTTAGGAAACAATATGATTACCATTAAGTTCTTTAGGGGGAAAGAAGGAGGAAAAAATAAGAGAACAGTCCCTCAATGATCTCAATGATTGGTTTTCAACACAGCATTTGTAGCGATGACCCCCTTCTTAGAATTGCTGCGACACTTTCGTAGAGAACAGACTCCCGTGTGCAGCTCCCTCTTTCCTTGTTTCACACCGCGTTCGAGCAGCTTGCACGTTCGTGGAAGAATCAGCCGTGAAGTCTGTGGTTTCCTGTGGCACATTTCTAATATTTGTACAGGCTCTTATTTAATGACCCGTATAAATATTTGTCATAAGAGCCATCTTTTGATGATAAGGGCTAAACATCAGTGCCATCCATGCTGGGGGCTTGAGCAGGAGGCTTTTCTGCCCTATAAGCATCTTGTGGCTGAGAAGTTAGGGATGGCTCAGGACTTGGGTGCAGCGAAGCTTGAGTTTCTCTGCGGTATTTTTCTTTCTCCAACACCTGCTGTCCATGTCCTCTTTTTTCTCTGCCTGACCACCCTCCCCAGGCCCCTATCAGTTTTTCTTTTTAGAGTACTCATCTTTGCCTGAAAAGAATGAGATAGAATCACTCCTAAGTCATGCTTTGGAAAGCCTCACCGACTCAGCTGCAAATCCAGCTCCCCTGCTTCTACGCTCTGTGACCTTCAACAGTGTTATCGCTGAGAACCTCAGTCTCCTTTACTGGGAAATGGGCTCATGCTGCTTACCTCATGGTTGTTAGAAGAATTAAATGAAATCATGTGGGTGGTTTGCAGAACAGAGCTTAATAAATTCCGGTTGTTGCTGCATTTGTTGTTGATACTGTTATTGAAGAAGTGACCAAAGGATTCAGCTTTCAGTTTTAGGTTGGTGTTGTAGAAAGAGCCCTAGGACTTGCTGCAAGTGGTGGCTGGGGTTCAACTATGGGTGCTGCTGTTTATTGTTTGTGTGACTTGTGGCAAGTGTCCTCGTTCCACTGAGGTGTAAAGTGGGGATAGTTTTACTAACTTCATTGGGTTTTAATCAGAAGAGGTTAACACATTGGAAGTGCCAGACACACAGCAGGATCCTAATCCTCTTTAAAAAAAAATTAGAAAAGGGAATGTTTTCCATCCTGCAGTGACTTTATTTTTAGAGCCTAAGAGGCACTGCAATACAGTTTGGAGCCCAGGGTGCAGCAGACAGTACTTATGACCCGGGAACAAAGGGCACAGGGGGGAGGCAAGGAAACCCTCTGGCGGAGTTTTTGTGACTCACGGGGTTGAATTTCAGGGAACCTGCCCAACGGCTTGAACTTTTCTGCTTCCCCGCTTTCAGGGTCAGGGTCTGGAAACAATCAAAAGAGATCACTTAAAACTATAATAATGGAAAACGTGGTGAACCTGAAATATTTAATTAGGATCTATTTCTTAGAAAAACATGAACTGGGAGGTGTGTGCAAGGCATGCTGGGAAGGTACGATGCCCTTGTTCCTCTGGGTTTGACTTTCCCTGATCAATGCCTTGGTCATAGGGTCTGGAAACGAGTGGTTTGCTGGAGAGAGGCAGCGCGGTGTTTGGGAAGGGTCCGTCTCTGAAGGCGGACACTCGAGTTCTGATCTCAGACAAAGTGGGCACGGTCACCTGTCAGAGTCCCGGGCCAACAGACATTTAATACATGGAGGGGTGTCAGGCAGGGTAGACTCCCGAGAAAACTGTTAAGGAGTATGGAGCCAGAGGGAACTGGGTCTCTCTCAGCTCTTAGTACTTACTAGTTACATGACATACTGGAGTAATTTGCCTTCCCTGTCTAGGACTCATTTTCCTCATCAGGTTATCTTCAAGGGTTAATGTCAATTTAAAGTGGTAATCCAAGCAAGCTGCCTAGTGGTGCCTCAGACCCACAGTAAACATGGTACCTTTGAGTTCTTTCCCTAAGAATAGGTGTTAAAGGTACCAATGAGTCTGACTTGTCCATTTCCTGCTTCGTGGCAGGCACTAGGGATACAGCGGTGATCCCTGCAGCAGTGGAGTTACCTGTTTAATAGTGAAGCTCCGCTCTCCACGTGAGGTAGGGGCTCTTCCAAAGGGTGGGCTCTTTCCTCTTTAGCAAAGAGATCGATCCAAACCCCAGAACCAGGGTAAGTCTTGGACCAGTGCAGAGTGGAAATCTGCCTGTTTGGATTTTCCTGGAAATCAGTCAGGCTGTCTAGAGGGTGGGTGGTAAGAGGAAGAGAGTCAAAGGGGAGGGACCCAGGCAGGAGGAGGTGGGCCATTCTCCTGGGGTGGGCGGGGGTGGGATTTCTCTTGTCACTGGGGCTGGCAGGAGTGGAGAGAAGTCTGGATGCTGGCTGACCAAGTCTGTGTAAGCCAGAATGCGTATATTGATTCTTTGTTTTCTATTTATTTCCTTGTTTCTCCCTGAGGTGCTTAGAGTAGTCTTGGAATGTTCTAGCTAAGGGTAGAGAGTTGTTGATGTGCTAAGAGGGGTGTTAAGGAGCAGCATCCCTGGGGCCCTTCACGATGGAGGCAGTGGGGAGCTACGAGAAGGAAGCCCAAGGAAGGCGAGACGTGTGTGCCGGGTCAGTAGGGAGGCGGGACAGCGAGCGGGGTCGGGGTCGGAACTTCCTCCTGTTTGAGGACAAAGAAGCTGAGGAAGCTCTGAACCAAGGCACTGTTCCGTCTTGTCCATCCCTGTCTCCTGAGCTCTGAGCAGTGTGCCTGGCACAGTCTGCATTTCTTCAAATCTCAGATGCCGTTCATTGCAGGGTGCATCATTATTTCTTACACCACTAAGAAAGAAAGAAAGGACCACCCATTAATTGTATGGTGCCACAGATAATCAGATGTATTCTGATTTTGGAGAAGCTAAGTGGGAAAAAATGAGTGTCATAGAATTAATAAAATGTGGTTATAAGCCTCCAATATATATTTTTAATTGGATGAATGAAGCATACAGAGATCAGAATCAAGACAAAACACCAGTGCCCTTAAATACAATTTAGGAATGCAAACTGTATTAAAACATGAACCTGTTAATCCTTGTTTTCTATTAATTCTCTGATTTAGATATTCAAAAAACATTTTTTGGAAACTGATTATGTACCAGAAACTGTGCTAGGAGCTGGAGATGCAGAAATTAGTAGTTCCTTTTTTCAGATTCAAGCAAATAAGGGAGAGAGACACAGAAACAAACAAAATATTGCAATTTGGAATGGCAAGTTTTCACAGAAAGTAGGGACATGGTACCCTCATGGCCCCGAGGGTTAGAGAAAGGCAAGGAAGTCTTCCCTGAAGAGGTCGTGGTTGACCTGGCTCTTAAAGCGTGTCTGTGGTCCCCAGACTGAGAAGAGAGGAAGGAATTAGAAAGGGAGAGAGCAAGTCCGAAGTGATGGGGCAGCCGGGCAGCAGTGGGATGCACTCGGGAACCTACGAGGAGTATGGGGATGGCCAGAGCTGGGTATGAGAATGGCCAGGGCAGGGCTGGACGCGGCTGGACAGCAGGCAGAGAGAAGCTGCTGGAGCCCTGAGGTGTTATGCTGAGGGCCTCAGGCTGTATATCAGCCCTCAGCCAAAGGTTTTCGGTTTTCCTGAGTCTTGAGGGAAGGGCCCAGCAGAGGGACTGCTTGGGGGGAAGAGTGGAGGGTGGGGCCAGCTGGTCTTTGCTTCCAAGGGGCCAGCTGTGCTTCTATCTGTTCATTTAAATTTCCTGAGTAATGACTTGAAGAAAAATGATCCCTGTTGAAGGAATGCGTGGGGTGAGAACTGGTGCTGCGGGTTCTGGGGAGCTCCCCTGGGTCGTCTGCCAGGGAGAGAGGAGGAGAAAGCAGTAGGTTGGAGCTTGAGAGCTGTTCTCTGAGGCGCAGAGGCAGATAGCCAGTGTTCTTACTCCGCATTCCCCATTTTCCTCTCCACCTGCCTGTGAGCCAGCAAGCCAGAGGGGGCAGGCACCGCTGGGAAATCACTGTGATGAAGTCAGAAGCAGTCACTTTTAATGAAGCTGTTTTTGTCTGGAATACACATCCAGGAAGCAGGGTTGAACATCTGCTGGCTGACTGCGTTTTAGCGTCCCCCAGTGAGACTTTGCCTAGGAAACGTTACCTTTTCTGAAGTGGAGGGGCGCAGGATACTGCTGCTGCTGTTGAACCTGGCCCCTCGACACTAAGACCACCTCGAGCTCCCCCGGGGAGTTGTGCCATGTTTCCCAGCGTGATTGTCTGGGGGCCTTTGCTTTGTCCTTTGAAAGCCTGATCTGGGAAGTGAAAGCCCCTATGACATTTCCACGTCCTGTGGGCTGATCTGACCAAAGGGACTTAGAATGGCAGCGAAGGCTGAGGAGTTCCTGAGTCAGATTTCCTCATAACTCACAAGGGGTCTGTAAGGAAAACAGACTCTAACAAATTCCTGATCCTGCCTCCCTCCAGGCTCCTTCCCAGTTCCCAGTCTCTTCATTATGGGGCTGCAGCGAATTCGCCTCCCCTCCAAACCTGTATTGCCACACATGGGAGGGCGGGTCTTAGCTGCCCCTGATGGATGCTGGCCAATCCCAGAACTTCTCAGAGACCCATTTCCCCCCCAGTATAATGTGGATTGTCATAATAATGTGCATTTGCTTCTCTTAAGAATGTGAACCTAACATTAAGAGAAAAGTTATGTACCTCATAGAGTCTCATCTTGATCACCCGTGACAGAGATTTAAATATATGCATCGTGGATAGTCCTCGTGAGGAGTGGAAGGGAGGTTTGTGCTTCTCACAGGGTGTGGCACATAATAGGAGCTTAGTAAATAATTATTTGAGTGGATGATTGCCTGAGTAGATGAAGTTCCTTTTCAGTGTCATGGCCACTGTCCTTGTTTTGACAAGTTCAATAAAAATAAGTGCATATCTGGGCCCTGGCTGGCATAGCTCAGTGGATTGAGCGCGGGCCTGCGAACCAGAGTATCGTGGTTCGATTCCCAGTCAGGGCACATGCCTGGGTTGCAGGCCAGTTCCCAGCAGGGGACACATGAGAGGCAACCACACACTGATATTTCTCTCCTACTCTTTCTCCTTCCCTTCCCCTCTCTCGAAAAATAAATAAATAAAATATTTAAAAAAATAAATACATATCTATAACCTACAGGTTCTCAGTTCTCCTGTAGCCCTTTATTTACCCTTATAGCACTTTTCACCTGATATTATGACTTTGTTTAAATAATTACACAGTTTATAAATGCTTAATTTCTGACTCCCTTCCAAAAATGGAAATTTCATGTCTGAGGCCATGCCTGTCCTGTTCAGCCACCACCGAGCTCACGCCTGTTAGCATCCTGTTAGCACTCAACATTTTTGTTGGATGAAAAAATAATAGAAGGGCACCAGTTACCTGCACCCCTTTTATTTCCACCTTCAAGAGGTCTTGTGCCTGGTTTTGTAGACCCGGTTGTTCTCTGTATGTTTTTTGCCTCTGACCACTGCAGGTGAAGGGAACGCCATGCCTGGTGGAGATCAGGAACCAGGGCGCTACTACGTGGGTGTGGACGTTGGGACAGGCAGCGTCCGTGCGGCTCTGGTGGACCAGAGGGGCATCCTGTTGGCCTTCGCAGACCAGCCAATTAACAAGTGGGAGCCTCAGTTCAACCACCACGAGCAGTCCTCTGAGGACATCTGGGCCTCATGCTGTGCTGTCACAAAGGTAAGGCTGCAACTGTGGCGCTCTGTCCTCGTATGCGCTTCCTTGCCCCTGCCCACTGAGCGTGTGTCTTGTGTCCTTCTGGTGCCAGGGACAGTGTTGGCTTGCCTTCAGGAGCTGATAGTCTGATAGTGACAGAGGCCAGTAGACAGCTGAACTATATGACACAGTAGGTGGTGGGGGCAAAGGGACCATGGCTAGAGGTGAGGAAAGGGTTAACCCTGAGGGGCTCAGGGTAGACACGGGTTGGAGGATGCAGGACGTGCAGACACAGGATGGTCAGGTGTGGCCCACTGTGGAAGGAGTCACTGAGAGTTACAAATAACGTCTACCTTCACGTGTGCCCGCTGCGGAATGAAACGTGTTAACATGTATCAGGTAGCTTAATCTTCACAATAGCCCTGTACAAGGAGCACCATTACCATTTTGTTGAGGAAAAAACAGAGGCACAGAAAATTTAGGTAACTTATCAAGTTCATGTAGTCAGTGTTGGAATGGCTGAAAAGTCCATGATGGTTTTTTTTTTTTTCCGATGGCTCTAGTAGAGCTTAGTTGTCTTTAACTTTGTTTGAAACAATTTTGTTAGATTGTATTGGGACAGCTGTCAGGTCAGTGCACATTTTTAAAAAATGTCAAAATTGATGGATTTATGTACAGCCATTTTAATAATGAAGATAGAATATAAACATTTTCAGCGTGTTATATGTTATTATGTCAAGAAAGGTAAAAATGCAACTGCAATGCAAAAAAAAAGACTGTGCAGTGTATGGAGAAGGTGCTGTGACTGATCGAACATGTCAAAAGTGGTTTGTGAAGTTTCTTCATACTATTGACATTTTAGCCAAATAATTCTTTGCTCTGGGTCTGCCTTATGCATTGCAAGATGTTTAACAGCACCCCTGGCTTCTACCTACTAGAAGCCAGTAGTGGGAGATAGCTGATATATTCAAACTATCCAAATTAATAGAGTTATTGGTGAAAATGAAAAATGTGTCTTTCATTTTATGGAAAAAACGTAATGGACTTTTTGGCCAACCCAGTAATAGCAGAGGCAGGACTGAAACCTAAGCAGTCTGATTCCAGTGCTGCACTCAGAGCCTGGACCGCCCTGCCTTCCAGACATGCGAGGGAGCCTTCTTTTGTTCAGAGGGAACAGCATGTGCAAAGGCACTGTGACATGAGAACATGGTGTTTTGAGAAAGCAAGGAAGTTGGGCAAGCTTTGAGTATCTATCTCTGAATTGTGCCAGGCAGATGTTCGTCTTGAGTGGCTTTGAATTGGAGTCAGCTTGCTGGTTTGGAGAAGGAAGGGGTGCTAGCCAAGACTCGTTCATTTTTAGTTTCACTTGACTATTCAGTTTTATATCCTAGTGATCAGAAACAACGGAGATTCTTTTCTCCTTTTTTTTTTTTATAGGGAAAAATAAAGTCTTGGGTTCTCTCTTCTCCTCCTAGTTTTAGTTCCTTAAATATTCATGAAGGGCTTGGTAATTTACAGATGGACAATTCACCATTCTGTCCATATTGATCCTTCTGTTTAAAGTTTAATGAGCTCTGAGCTACTGTTAGTGCCCCCCAGAGAAGAAGGCAGAGTGAGGAGGTGGGGGTGGGCAGTGCTGGAGCATTATATAGGAATAAAAGAAGGGGTGCATCTTTTCTTCTGCCTGTTTAATTTCCCTCTTCCCTCCCTCCTCCCAGCCCCGCCTTGGTGAGAATCTTCTGCTCATTGCCCTTGGGTCTCCTTTGTTCTTCTGACATATAGCCTTCCTTGCCATTAAGGAAATTGTGAAGAAGAAAATATAATTCCCTGATGAAAAGCTACTTTAAAAAAGGTCTGCTCTAAGAACAGCTTGGTTTAATGGTGGATTTTTAATCATCTCCCAGTGGCGGCCAACTTGTCATCTGCTTGAGCTCCTCAGCCACTTGAGTGCCACGGGCATCCGTAGCGAGGCTCTGTCACTATAGCAAACCCGAATAAAGCCGGGCCACTCCCCTTCTTCAGGAGGGAGACACTTGTGTATTAGAGAGGTAGGCACCGTAGAGCAGGGCTCAGGAGCCAGCCTGCCCGTGTTGTCCCAGTTCCAACAGTTATTAGCTTGTCATCTTGGACAAGTTACTTAAGGTTTCTTGCCCGAGTTTCCTGATCTGCCAAATGAGAACGATAATTGTACCTCTCTCCATAGGGTTGTTGTGAGCATGTAATGAGTCAGTGCATTTAAAATGTCAGAACAGTGCCTGGAAATGCGTAAGTGCTTTGTTTCCTATGGTGGTGATGATGTGATGATGTGATGATGTGATGATGATGATGATGATGATAACAAATGAAGGGAATGGGTTTCTAAGATAGAATATATTTAAAAGTCAAAGTCCGTTGGGGAGGCGCCTCACTGGAATATTCTCACTCCCTTTCTGGGTAGGGTTTTTTCTGTGTAAGATCTTGAGAAGTACTGGGCTAGGACAAAGGCAGCAGAATACGTTTTGATGTATTTTGTTCCTCAAGGACTGTCTCTTCTTCCTCAAGGACATGGGAAAGTTAGGAGCTTGAGAGCAGCTGTACTACGTCCCATTCCTGCAGTCATTCACTTGGTTTTCCCTGTAGTCAGGTCAGTAAAGACAAGAGCAGTAAAAACTGGAAGATGATGCCAATGAGGATGATAATGGCAGCTAACTTTGTCTGGGCACTAATTATGCTCCAGCTATTATGCTGAGCACTTCATAGCCATCACTTCCTTTTATCTGAATGACAGCTTCTTGATGTAGTTTTTATTATTCTCTCTTCGGAGCTAAAAGAGACGAGCTTTGATGAGGTTAAGTAACTAGCCCAAGGTCACATGACTAATATGCCCCCACTCCATCCCACCCCCCTTGCTCTGCTTTTGCTCTTCTTCCCAGTCTCCTGTCACCTTGCTTGGAAATCATATTAAAATACCTGAAGGTTTTCGAATCTGCTACTCACTCTGTGGAGAGCATTGAGCTTACCGTGGTTGTTGTGTTAACTATATTGAATCACAAGTATCTTTACTTGGCTGTCTGCTCGTGTGGGAAATGTGTGTCCCCTGAGCAGGGGGTCTTACCTTGTTTACCTGTATTTCCCCAGAGTTCCTTGCTTATAATATACTCAGTTCATATTTGTTCAGTGTATGAATGAGTGAAATGTCTCTGCTGTTTCCATTATGTGCAACATTCTTCTCACTCCCTCTTGACCTGCACACCTCCTTGGTATCTTAGCGGGGTGCCCAACCTGCAGTCTGCGGGCCGCATGAGGCCCAAGATGGCTATGAATGCGGCCCAACACAAAATCGTAAATTTACCTAAAACCTTTTTTTTATGCTTAGCTGTTTTCGTTAGTGTTTGTATATTTAATGTGTGGCCCAAGATGACTCTTCTTCCAGTGTGGCCCAGAGATGCCAAAAGGTTGGACGCCCCTGGAAGCTGATGTGTTAGGTCCTGCTGGGAGCCTTCTTTGGAGACTCCTGAGAGCCCCTGCCCTCCCTGGCCAACCTCAGAGGAAAGGGAGGGTGACAGGCCCCTCCCTGTGGCCCAAGAGCCCACCATCTTCACATGGATCATTACCTGGCCCTTATCGCAGTGCATTTGAATTGGTGACTTGTGGGTTCTTTTTAAACCACGCACTGAGCTCTCAGAGAGAATTGTCCTTGTATCCCCAGCATCTAACACATTGCCTGGCTCCGAGTCAGTGCCCAGTACATGGTGGTGGAATTAATGACAGACAATTAAAAAGTGTTCTGGCGTTCCTCATCTTATTTGTAACGGTAACTCTGTGAGACAGACTGCCATTCTTCTCATTGGACACATGGAGATGCTGAGGCTCTGAAACTAACTGGTGTTAGAGACAGGACTAGACCCGGAGTGAGTTGGCTCCCCATCCTCTTCTCTGTTCCCTTCTCCACACCCCTAAAATTGGCAAGTTTATATCGGGTCAGTAACCCCACATCTAAAAAGTTCTGTGACATGTAAGTCATAATGTATGTGCTGTTCCTGATTTTAAGGGCTTACAACGTTTTCTGGAGGCACATATCTTAGTCACCAACAGGACAAGAGCCTTGCAAGTTTGTGTATGATTAGTACCAACTTGCATTAGGAGGAAGAATGTAAACTGGAGGTATGATACATGTTGTGCTCTTCGCTAAGCAGTGGGACGTTTACAGGATAACTTGTGTAAGTTTTCTGCACCTAAGGATGAAATAGTTCAGTTACGTGGAAAAGCCAACACCTACGAAGCTAATGAATCTGGTTTCGTTTTAAGTTGCACTGGCTGCGGGAGTAGTGCTTGAAGGGGGGAGAGAGCAGTACAGGGAGTAGCTCGTGGGACTGGGCAATAATGTTAACCTCTTATAGTCATCGAACCTGTGTGGTTTACAAAGCATGTATTATTCATTTTTTAAAATGTTAAACCGTTTATTTAAAATTTATTTTTCAATTAACCGTTGACATACAATATTTTATTAGTTTCATGTGTACAACATAGTTATTAGACATTCATATACCTTAAAAAGTGGTCACCCTGGTAAGTCTTGTACCCCTCTGACCATATGTAGTGATTACAGTATTGTTGGTAATATTCCCTGTGCTGTACTTATATCTCTGTGACTTTCATAGCTGGCAATTTGTACTTCTTAATCCCTTTCACCTATTTCACCCATCCCCCTAACCCACATCCATATCCATTTGATTGTCATGCAAGGTGGGTAGGGAAGGGGTTGTTATTCCCATTTTATCTTTCAAAAGAAAAACTGATCCCCAGAGACTTAAGTGACTTTCCCGAAGTTACCCAGAAAATAGGTGATAAGCCTGAAATCAGATAGGTCAGATATCTGCAGTGAATTCAGGAAGTGTAAGAAGAATGAATCATTAAAGAAATTGGGACCTCCTTACTCCCAGTCCGTGGAGAAAGTTTGAGGAAGGATGTAGGAGTACAGGGGGCTCTGGAGAACTCTTAGGAGCTCTCCATGGACAGAAGTGCCGAGGTGGTAATATTAAGGG